TTAGTGGAGTTCCCTGCGCCAGTCCATGAGCGTATCGGGAGTCAGGGGAGTTGAAAATGTCTCTTAATGAGTATGTATGCTGCATACTGAAGCATATATTTGCCCATGATTTATGCTAGCTTTGGTCAACCAGATCCACCTACCAAAGTTAACTGTCAAGAGTAGTAGTGACTTTGATGTCAGCCTTAACTGTACACAAGCAACAAAGAATCAATGGGCAAGAGTTAGGAGAAGACACAAGAAATTCCAGTGCCTCTTAGGGGATCTCTTACACTTCTTTATTGTCTCTTCCCACATCTCTTACATGCCACTGCGTGTGCTTTGGCACTAGAATACAATCCTTCAGGGTTTCTTCCCATGCTGTCACAAATTCCCCTTTATTCCCACAGTTTTTAACTGGCAGTATGAGGGCAACCCCCTCATGCTCATGGAGCCCACAGTAATTTTGCCTTTTCTACAGCATCTCTCTTACATGGTCCTGACTGGAGATAATACTGCTGTCATCTCTCTGGGCTTCAGGTTGCAAATTACGGGAGCCTGGGATCGTGTTATTTTTTAGCTATTAGTTACATGTGTATCTGCAGTGCTTTAGGACAGCACTGCCAGCAGTGAAAGAAATTGAGCTGGCTTAATTGAGAGCCACATAGTTAATTATTACTGCCTTTTTTTTAAAGGAGGAGCGAGAGAATTTGCAGTGTCAGTTTTTAATTTCATTGTGCTTTGCAAGCTAATTTGACTTTAAACTCACTGGTCGTTACCTGTCTATATGTAGTATTCCCTTTGGCTTTCCAGCCCTAAAGGGCTCTTCCTGCCGTAGAAATGTCAAGAGATTTGAGATGGAAAGTGCATCTGTGTGTTACTCATCTCATCAGCTAGTGTGAGTGACAAATAAAAACACTGGTTCCTGTTAGTGCAATAGATGTGATGTGGTTTGGAAGGAGCAAATGCTTTGTCCCACCTCTCATTACCCGGTTTGGTACGTTGTGCTCAGATATTGTGTGTGAGTCCCTGGCAGGCTGGGTAGTATGGACATTGGAAATGGGCAAATTGTATAGGCAAATTGTCGAGGACGGCTGGAAAGAAACCAGTCAGTATCCACGCTGAGGCAGAGTTAACGTTTTTGGGCGGAAGCGTTCCTCGTAGCCTGGACAGATTCCCCTTGGGAAGTCTGGTGGTGATGAATGGTGGAGCCACGATGCTGTCTTTCATGACTTTGCTGACTAGAGGTGCACATTAAATCCTGAGAGGATAGCTGAGACTTTTTCTGTATGTTTTTCATAAACTTGTTCTACATATTGAGGACTGTGATGAAATAAGCCTGGTTCAACATTCATAAATTGAATATTCAGTTACCTATTTCTGTGTGAAAGAGATGAGATAAAAGCTACTTGGACAAAGTAACCTGTGTGTGGATTAAAAGCCAGAAAAGTTTTTTGCCTGAGCATTTTTGGGAAAGCCTTTATCACTAAGTTTCCTGATGACCTTGTGCACTCAATCAACGTGATTAATCTTTGGTAGCAATGCATTGGTTGTGTAAAGAAGGTGAACTTAATCCAAGAAACCTTTTTTTACAATTTCAGACTCTAGAAAGATGAAATGTATTTTCTCAAGTGTTGTTTCTGACCTTGGAAAAAAAAGCAACAACCGAAAACTGTAGTGGGAAGAAATGAAAGAATATAGATTAAAAAATGTTTGTAGTTTCTGATACTGGTTGAATGACCACTGTCCTTCAATATCAAAGAAAGCAGACTAGTTGTGAGTATAGCTTCATTTTATAGAAATTTTTTTATAGAATAATTTTGTATTTATGATCTGAAATTAATTTTCTTTATAAGTGGTGTGCAAATAATTGATGGACAGTAAGGTTCTCTGCTAAATAATTTTTTAAAGGGGGCATTGCACTGTAGAGACTCTGAAGCT